TCATTAGAGAAGTGAAGTCGAACAAATGCAAAGGGTAGGGTACTATAGAAGGGGATCATATAAAAGCACGATCTATTTCACAACGCCTTTAACTTTTGTTCTTCAACTGTTGCCCTTTGTGCATTTCAAAAATAAAATATCTTAATCTGATTTGTTCCACCTTTCTTTTCGCTCAGTTCTGCAATATTATGTTGTTTAGGATTATGTCATTTGCGAAATAGCTGTAAGACATTATGAGAATGAATATGGGAGTTTCCACGAAAAAATGAGAATCTAACATTTAATGATAACAAAAGGATTAATTGCTTAGTTCTCTTTGTTTTAGTCTTTGTTTTCTTAAATGCGGAAGTGTACCAACATCACCTAGATTACATAAGAGATCATCTAACAGTCTAAAATTGCTTTTAATTGCAAGTTAATGCATTCCGACCTAAATTTGTATACCTGTAATTGGGGGGGGGGGGGCGATGTTACATCACATAACTACAACGTTCATAAAGAAATATACAATGAGCATGTCCGTATAAAAGCTAAAATTATAAAAACTCATTTCAAAGTCATTCTGTTCATGGAAGCGTCAAGTTATGAAAAACAATGCTAAACACTCAAACAAATCGACTTGATTACCTTTGAAAACTTCTTGAGAGGAAATGGACAAATGTATTTTTCTAACTCATTAGAACGTCTGTCTGATTGAAATACTATTTTTAAATACAAACATGAATGATTTAATCTTAGTCAGAAGTCTGAACATTGTCCAACAAAATAATAAGAATCTAACATTTAATGATTACAAAAGGATTAATTGCTATAGTCTTTGTCTTAGTCTTTGTTTTTCTAACGGCGGAAGTGTACCAACATCACCTTGATTACAGAAGAGATTATCTAACAGTCTAAAATTGCTTTTAATTCCCGGGTTTTAATTACATTTTATGTATAGACTTTTTTGCCTCTATTCTCATTTTTAAACTTGTTTCTGTTTGTTTATTTAACAATTGTGATAAATTATTCAGTTAGTGTCGAAATCAAAACAATTTTCTACATTATAGTCCCCTCCTTTTGCATTGACTAAATATTAAAATAAGCTAGTCTGATTGCGAATTTACAAATCCTGTAAAAGTAGCTTCAAACCGCCTTTTGATCAAAGAAAACAATAAGTTAATTCATCTGATTGCGAAAATACGAATCAATCTGATTATCTGATCTCCATGCTATTTGATTCGTGCATTATCTACAAGTCAGTCGGGCAAGGGTGAAATTATTTCATTTGAAAACAGAAATAAATATCAGAACCCCTCTAGCATAACTACAATGTATTCGGAAGAAATTCATACAAAAAATAAGGTACACAACTGATGAAGGGTCGCACACAATGCACGCACCCCTCTCCTCCTCCTCCGCCCACACACGACCATATTTGACAATTTTTCTAAAAGCGTTTTCCCTGGGAATATAGGTGTAGCGGTTACCAGAAGTCGCACAGCTTGGGAGTCAGGGTATCCTGATCCATGCCTCAACGCCCGACGGGTCTGATATTTAGAGGGGGCGCAAGAATTATTAGGGGGCGGGGTAAACGTGAAAGTTGCCAAAATATCCATAGGCGTAGCCAGGAGGGGGGGGGGGGGGTGCGATGGGTGCGATAACAATAGGCTTTATATATGCTTTAATGTTTTATTTATCATGATGCTTTTATGTAGGCTATTAATTACAGTTCTTTTTGCAATATAAAACTGGTATGTTTATGCAAATTCCGATTGGACTAATATAAAGGGATATTGTTTCATTATGTGGACTTGAGAAAGTCCGACATACTCATTGCTTTCAACCCAAAACTTAAAATAGGAAGTTATCAAGATCCCAAGAACACGATCGATACTTAAACAATACGTTTGTAAAATCCCGGCGATCGAAATGCAATCAAACTTTCGCAATCAGGTGCCTAATTAGTCTTTTGATCTCTAAAGTTTTACGACTGAACGTTTCAATGAACTCGTGAGAAGCAAACGCAATCATCATATAAACATTTTTCTAGTAAATCTAAAATAGAGTAAAACCCAGGGAAAAAGATCGCGTGTTCATAGGAATTAGGCATATTTCAATTTTGAAATACCAAAAGTCAGTCTCGGAAGAATTTTCCAAGCATTCCCTGCTTCGATGCGTTTTTATTGCAAGGGCCGTTTAGCGCCGATATGAATTCATTATAGGGCATTAGGGTTGTGCTTTATTTGTTTTATTTATATAAATGTTATAAAATGTGTACGACACTTTAATGAATTATTTTTAGGGTATCAATGCATATTTGACTTTTCCCTCTAAACGTTTAAAATTCATCTTTTCTTAGTTTGCTTCAATAAAATTAACATTGGATGACCCAGACAGTTATCAAATTCTCAGACATTTGGTTAATATAGATATTTGTACTTCCTTTGACCAGTGTGACTGAGATTTGAATCTAATCTGTTTCATTTTTATGTGAATTGAGAGGAATCAAGTTTTATTTTCAGCGTTTTAACAATCTTAACGTTTGGCGTGCAGCTCAACTTAATACACAATCAAAGGTCAGAATACAGAAATAAGAACATGCCTTTTATTTGTTATTCAAGCTCGAGCAATATCCCCGTTTTAAAACCAAAATAACTGCGGTTAGGTACCATATCTTGATTACGGTAAAGACAGGCCTTCTCATTCTGGTATGCCAGAGCCACTCTTATCTGCCGATTGTGGAAGGATAAAGACAAAGGGGTAGCGGCTATCGCGATGAGGCCATCTTATTTCTAGGAATTATTTCTGCCTCTCATTCCTTAAACCGGCTTCGTTAAACAGTGCCAAAATATATAAGTCGGAGCCAAAAACAAGACTATTTTTATATTTAAATCCCCTCACCTTGTCAATGTCTATGCCTGCATCTGGTTTTCCCACCTTTGGGAGGGAGCCAATATACACATAGATTACTTACTGGCCATGGACAGGGGGGGGGGCACAGAAACGAACATTCTGGGGTCATAAGGGATACTTGGGGAAGGGGGAAAGGTGGTGGTGAATAGTGAAGTCCGGGAGTGAAGTTAGTGGGTACTGAAATCTTTCTTTTGATATTTAGTGCTTGAATGGAGACTTGTTTCCACTCCCCGCATTCTAGTAGAATTTAAATATTTGATCCAAAGGAGTTATTTTAAATCAAACTTGCATTCCGATTAATTAACACTCCAATGATTGTACCGCTTCACTATTGTCTAAGATAATTATAATGAATTCACGGGACACTATAGTCTTCCTTTTAAACTTTAGTGGTTGGATGGAGACTTGTTTCCCCACCCCGTACACTAGTAAATTTGTAAATTTTAAATATTTGATTTAGGGAGGTATTTGCAATCCAACTCTGATGATGCAAGACTAGTCAGCCAAGACTAAATTATGAACTTATTATCATTTAGACTATTGAGTTCATTAAATTATAATTCCATAGATATCATATTTAATCCTGTCAACACAATAATGGTATTAATTGGCATGATATGTAGTCAGAGACGGTTTAAAAAGTTGTTTAGTATAGATAGTATTAGGAAAAATCCTAACTCAAAGTTTTTGTTCTCTCGCAATCCAGAGCAAACCACTCGCCGGGCAAGCATTCTTTAAAAACGTGAAGTTTTCACCATGTTGAGCAGTTTTGAAAATTGTCCAATTTGAACCATAGCCTTGTATATTTCTGTAACTGCCCCCCCCCCTTGACACTCGAGTGTAAGAATCCTCACTGTCAATGGTTTTACAAAATAGTTCATGTCAGGAAGGGGAGGGGTGAGTGTGGAGAACAATCACTGACTGCGATTTGTATGATTGAACATTATACACTTATCATAGATTCGTAAAGAATAGTTTTAAAATAAACAGCTTGTTTTATGTTATGATTGGAGTGATGTATGCATAGAAGAATGACACTGGTTTTGAAATATCTTAATCATCCCATTGAATGAAGACATCCGTCCCTCTGTCCATTCTAAACTCATACTAGTGGACTGATTTGATTTAAAGGAGAAGTCTCGGTGTAGAACGTGTACACACTAATGGGAACGAATTTTACTCATTTCTATTTAGGATTCGTTCGTATACTAGCGGGGCTTTAGAGCATTTACAAACGCACGAATTGTATTGTTTTAAGGCAACTTTTATGACATATAATGTTTTTAAAGCTGATTAATTTTAGATTATACTCGGTTCAATTTTACAAATAATGAATAGTATTACAGTATATCGAAAAATATACAATGATTTACATTAAATTGCTCAGACTGCAAACAATGTACATGGTTGGCGAATTTGCATGCGCGTTCTTGATAATAAGAATTAAAGGTTGAACTTAAAAATCAAACATTTTCTTTTTTTAAACATAATAAATCTTTAAATCAAGAAAATAAAAATAAGATTGAGCTTTTCATAGTCAACTGCGACTGCGTCGACGCATGTTTATTTACTTAGCTAATTAGATATGTAAAATTGTTAATCGCCGCAACGGATAATACGTACATGTAAGCTGTTCGGATAAGACATTTCTATATGATTAATAACAAATCCCAGGCAGAATGTTATTCAACAGTAACTGATCTTATTAGTTATTATTCAATTTGGATAATAAATCTATTATCTCGTTGTATTGATGTTTATTATATAGTGTTTCTCGTTGTGTTCGTATTCCATGCTTCTTCTCGAATGTTAAACTAACTGTACTGAACATAGCGTTGACACCACGTACATACATGCAATACATACAAATCCAATACTAATCACCATTGCCCATTCAAATGATCACGGGTCAGTGCACTCACTACGATCACTATAGTTCATTGAAAATTGGCTATTACTAGAGCGTGTAGGTTACTAAAGATTACCGTTTAGCTTGCATAGGTGACAGTGTATGGGTTTTAAGTCAGAGAAAACATTCGTGAGAGTTAATTCTTTGAAATTAACGGTTCTCTATTTATGGTTTCTCTATAACATATTAATTGCAGAAGTCGGTGGAAGGACTAGATTATTCCAAGAAAAAATAATCGATATGGCTGTTGCACAAAGTGGAGAAATTCTAGTGATGAAACTTAACCCAATGTCTCTACATGCAGTGCTTTTTGATGCTGATTTCGAAAAACTCATAGATTTCGGCGAAACTGATTACGTTCGTGTAGGAACCTACTTTGAAGAATCAACGTCTAATAGTATATTTCTGGCTAGTGCCGTGAGAAAAACCTATGATACATTAGCTGTTTCGGGGAATTACATCGGAAGTGAAGACCTGGGTGATCCTACGCTCGCCATATTCGATGTGGCCATCCTTCCAACAGAAGATCCAGGGCTCAATATCGTAGTGTTTATAGATGTACTTACTTCTACTTTAGAAAAGTTCGATGGTATTGGAAGCGTAACTGTGCACTCATTTAACACTCCTATCTATTTGGCAGCACGCGGAAACCTTACCGTAGTAAGTGACTCCGAAGACAATATCGTAATCGGTTTCTACATCGATAGATTTACGCACTACGAAGTCTTTAGACACAGCGTAGATAGCCTAATTATTCTCAAGGATGTCTGCATAGACAGCGAGTTCAATGTATTTATAGCAGAATACACGAACTCCAGGATAGTTCGTCTGGACAATTCTGGCAAAATTCTTGGATTAATCCCCGTGGCGGAGAGACCAATCGCTGTCGCCATCAAGAGACAAGGAGTGTTGCTTGTTGGAGATGAGGCTGGGTACATCAACACGATTCCTTACTAGTGTGGTATGATATGAAAACAAAAAGTTGTATTACTTAAACAGCTTCAGAAAAGTTTGAAATAGTTTTATCATTCGAGTTTTGGTTCTTCTTTCTTGATGTTCCCGTATTTACTGACTAGGAAAAACCTATTTGGTACCTGTCAGCCCTGCTACTTATGCTTGCGTGTACATTCACAATTTGTTTCTATTTTCAGGTGTTTCAAATACAGTTCGAAGGACCGCAAAGTGTTTGTAGGATGAATATTGGGAGTTTTTCATGCATTTCGCTTGTGTTTTTAATCCAAAAAACATCAATACACTTTGAAACATTTTATTGAGTAAGATTGCACCTTATAATCCTAAAAATGGTTATCATTTTCAAGGATTATCTGGATTAACACCCAGGCATTGTCATTTTTCAAACTTCAGAGGACTGGGAATCATTATCACGATCGCTTTTAGATAATAATAATGCTGTTTGAAATAGGTTTCATTTATGCCAATAATTTCTCAAATTGTGTTAATGGTACCCATTCCTTAATCCCTAGAGTTTTCTCTGAGGAATTTCCCATAGTAATCCAATGGTATAGTTCCAAGCAGATTTTGATATAACAAGAAAGTAAATTATTAATACACAACGTATTGGGTTGTTCTGGTTTATGTCACAAGCCAATGAGGTGTGTATATTTATGATGTTGTTATTTTCTAAAGAGTTCACATGATTTTAGCTCTGAAACTATTGATTTATCAATTATACCTATAATAAAGTTTGAATGCTAACAAGTGATATGACCCTGGAATCTGACTTTTACTTTCTCACATAGGGATATTGAAGCTATTCGAAATTCCGAAATGATTTTATTTTCTTAACCTTTATGATATGACTCCTGAAATCTGACTCACTTTCTCTGTAAAGCTCACTTTCAGATTCCGAATAGCTTTAACATAGGGATATTGAAGCTATTCGAAATTCAAAAATGATTTTATTTTCTAAACCTTAATGATATGACTCCTGAAATCTGACTCCCACTTTCTCTGTAAAGCTCACTTTCAGATTCCGAATAGCTTTAACATAGGGATATTGAAGCTATTCGAAATTCCGAAATGATTTTATTTTCTAAACCTTTATGATATGACTCCTGAAATCTGACTTTCACTCCCCCTGTAAAGCTCACTTTCAGATTCCGAATAGCTTCAACATCCCTCATAAAGTAACTTATTCTCAAAATAGTGGAAAATGTGGAAAATCGATTATATTATGTTTTTTCCATAGTTATCATGATATTCATTGGATAACATGTCAAATTAAAAACGGTATTTTTGTAATCAGTGGTAAAATATGATATTTTAGACAAATTTTCACTTAACCATAGCATACGATGTTTATGCCATGACATACATGTACGGGTCCGTATGCTATGATATATGGAGATTTGCTACTTCAGACTTAAAACGAGGCTAAGTTTCAACATCGCCAGATCGTTTGGAAAATTTGAATTAAATCACTTAATTTCCGACGATTCTGATGATGACTTTAACTATGGAATAAAAAGAACATCCTATGATTTTCTCGTAATATGATTTTAATCCACTCTTGGATATTGATATATTCACTCTCTCGCTACGCTCGCTCGTGCAGATATCACATCCATTCGTGGATAAAAATCATATCACTCATAAAGCATAGGTTACCCTCTATATATTACATCATATTATATTACATTATATTATATAACATCATGTTTTATTAAAGAAATAGTGACTGCCATTGAGGGAAAGTGCAAAATATTTTTCCCAATGGAATATCCTGTTCCCGAGGCTACAGGCCGAGGGAACATGTCAGTGCACAGAATATTCCCCAGGGGAAAATGTTTACACTATTTCCCGAAAATGTGGCAGACAATATTTGTTTTATTGTTTACCTCGTATGTGCTCTGTAAAAGACAAAATGAGAAGTATTTTCATTTCAAAATTTAAGGTTGACAGGTTCTTATTGGCATTTAAAGCTATTTTGCCTTTCAACTCCTATAATCTCAGCTATCAGGGAAGATATACATAGTAATGCCTGGTCACATGATCTAACTGGTGATTGGTACATTTAATTTTCCCTGATAGTAGGGATTTAGAACTTTGCAGGGAATTAGTTCATCTATTTCATATCATGTGACCATGAATAAGCCAATGAGCAGCTAGAATACATATGAGGTATATAATAATACATTGTATTATGCACCTCATTAAAATACTCAAATCTGATTGATTCTTAGTTGCTTGTAATTTGGCAATACTCTCGCACTTTTCTAAAAACTGCCGGATATTTTTTTAATATCTGACCCTTTCGAGAAAAAGGGTCGGATATTTTTTTCAATGTTTTTGCAACATTTCCACTTCAGAGTTTTATTTCTTAATAACTGGAGTACTACTTAAAGCTTACATCTAAAATTGGCGGAAAATAGAAGAAAAAACGCACTCAATCAATCACAATTACCTTTATCATTCAAAAGTTACATATAATTCTGCAAGAACGTCTCGAATAAATAAAAATTAAATTCCCGGGGCAAATATTTTCGTCCAGTGTAGCGAATAAACTGGCCGGAAGTCGTCTGAGTTTTGAAAGAAAAAATAAATAAATGTCAAAATAATGTCTTTGTATCTGTTTGTATTTTAAGTACTCCACTTAACTTTGATTGGGAGGTGCATAATAAAACAAATACTGGGTGATCAGGAGCTAAATATGGCCAAAATACCTATCCTCGAAAAAATATTTGGCTCGGCTACCGCCTCGCCCAATATTTTTTTCTCGAAGAGGTATTCTGCCATATCCAGCTCCTGATCATCCAGTATTTGTTTAATATTATACGTTATATTATATTATGTTACATACTATTGTATTACATTATATACTTATTATTATATTACTGCGACAAAGTAGCAATTGGGCTGGAAAATCGATTATATTATGTTTTATTCCTTAGTTATGATATCATGATATTCATTGGATAACATGTCAAATTAAAAGCGGTATTTTTTGTAATCAGTGGTAAAATATGATATTTTTGACAAATTTTCACTTAACCATAGCATACGGTGTTAAAGCCATGACATACATGTACGGAGCCGTGTGCTATGATATATGGACTTTTGCTACTTCAGACTTAAATCGAGGCTAAGTGTCAACATCACCAGATCGTTTAGAAAATTTGAATTAAATCACTTGTTTTCCGACGATTCTGATGATGACTTTAACTATGGAATAAAAATAACATCCTATGATTTACTCCTAATATGATTTTAATCCACTCTTGGATATTGATATCTTCACTCTCTCGCTACGCTCGCTCGTGCAGATATCACATCCATTCGTGGATAAAAATCATATCACTCATAAATCATAGGATATCCTCTATATATTACATCATATTATATTACATAACATCATGTTTTTTATTATAGAAACAGTGACTGCCATTGAGGAAAAGTGCAAAATATTTTTTCTGATGGGATATCCTATCCTCTGACATGTTTTCGTGGCAACAGGCCTAGGGAACATGTCACTGCACAGGATATTCCCGAGGGGAAAATGTTTTCACTATTTTCCGAGAATGTGGCAGGCAATATTTGTTTTATTTTATACCTCGTATGTGCTCTGTAAAAAACAAAATGAAAAGTATTAGTTGACAGGTTCTTATTGGCATTTAAAGGTATTTTGCCTTTCAACTCATATAATCTCAGCTATCAGGGAAGATATACATACTAATGCCTGGTCACATGACCTAACTTGTGATTGGTACATTTCATTTTCCCTGATAGTAGGGATTTAGAACTTTGCAGGGAATTAGTTCATCTATTTCATATACATGTAATGTGACCATGAATAAGCCAATGAGCAGCTATATGGGGTATATAATAATACATTATATTATGCATTATATTATATAATGTTACATAATATTGTATTACATTATATTATTTTTATTATTATATTAATGTGACAAAGTAGCAATTGGGCTTATTTAATTATTAACTTTGATCATATCTATTGGTGTTCAGCCTTGAAAAAGTAAGGTTACATTAACATTTGATTGATTTATTGTTGTTGATTCTGGCACAATTTGGTTTGTTTTTATGTCTCCACCACATAGCGTGGGGCCATATTGTCGGCCTAGGTGCGTCCGTCCGTCCGTCCGTCTGCCTGTCTGTCTGTCAGTCCGTCCGGCAGTTTTCTCCAAAATCGCTACAGATATCACCTTCAAATTTTCAAGGATAACTAATGAGTGCATACAGATGTGGACGAAAAACTTTTAGCTCGATACCTACTTCCTGTCGGCCATTTTGAAGTCAAATGCTAAAATCCTTGTCTGCAAACTTTAAGAAAAACGGCTACACGATTGCTTTTAAAACTTTATTATCTTGTTCAACTTACTTCATTCTACATCTGATTAGGTTTAGGACCTGTTAGCTCAGTCGTGGCAGCCATTTTGAATGTCTTAAGAAAAGTTAGAGCGCGACAATACTTTGTATCATATTGAACGGTGTTTTTGAGCTTTCATACTTTAACTATTTAGTAGCTTTATAGATAATTCCAGGTGTACTTTATTGTAGAAGCCTATATTATTGTTAACAGTAGTTATATGTGATAATTTTGTAAAAAATAATCAGCAAAAACTAATAATCACTTTTTTATTGTCGGCCATTTTGGATTTTTCCGTCCTTAAATCTTGTCTGTAAAGTATTGTCTACGCGTTTTCAGGTGAACCGTTTGGTAGATCAATTTCAAATTTTCAGGGATGATTCTTCGTATAAAAATCTATATCTGATTAGTTTTTTGGCATTCTGGGTAAATGTCAAGGCAGCCATTTTGGATTTTCCGTCCTAAAATCTTGTCTGTAAAGTTTTGTCTAAGCGTTTTCAGGTGAACCATTAGGTAGATCGATTTCAAGTTTTTTAGGGATGATTCTTAGTATGAAAAACTAGATCTGATTAGCAGATTAGTTTTTTGGCATTCTGGGTAAATGTCAAGGCAGCCATTTTGGATTTTCCGTCCTAAAATCTTGCCTGTAAAGTCTTCTCTGTGTGTTTTCAGGTGAACCGTTTGGTAGATTAAATTCACATTTTCAGGGATGATTCCTTGTATTAAAATCTAGAACTGATTAGTTTTCTGGTATTCTTGATAAATGTCAAGGCAGCCATTTTGGATTTTCCGTCCTAAAATCTTGTCTGTAAAGTCTCGTCTACGCATTTTCAGGTGAACCATTTGGTAGATCAATTTCAAATTTTCAGGGATGATTCTTAGCATAAAAATCTAGAATTGATTAGTTTTTGGGCAAATGTCAAGGCAGCAATTTTGGAT